GCTCTGCTCAAACTCCAGAACAGGTACAGACCTGCACTCTCTCATCCTGCAAATTACCCGGACATCAGCTAACCTCTCAGCCTCATTTGTCTGTTTATCTACTCTATCCAGAACTCCTCAAGTGGATTTTTTCGTAAAAAAATCTCAAAAAATCTAATTTGTCTGATTATTAATTGATTAATTGAAAAAAGCGATTTGCAAAATAATTGTTCGTTGCAGACCTAGAATAAAGCAACTTTATAAAGTTTGTTTGTAGTTTGAAATGTATTTAGAGGTTTTTGTTGCTGATTCTGTATTTCCTACGTTGATATTCCAGCAAATATGTTAATTAGGTGAGGATGTGGTCATGTGTTGAGCTTTTAAGCAGAGATGGTTAGTTGGAATATCTTCAACAGATTTAAGACATTTAAGATGTAATACATGTTTAGATTTCTGTAAAGGTATAATAACATTTAGATGTAGGTGTAAGCTGGAAGAAAGTGCCCTAAAATAGCTGCAATGTGACAGTGAAAAGCTTTTAGCTATAGTTTTACATTCGGCATCCCGTATTGTTGGAATTAGCAGATAAACCCGGTTTGATTCCGTGACGTTTAGGAAGTAGATTTCAGATTTCACCAAATGATTTCAGGAAATAAAATACAAATGATAAATAAAGAGTTTTCATCGTTTTTGTTTTCTGTATAAAGGAAAAATATTGGAAAAAAAGCCTGATAGAGACTGGCAGCGCTGCTGGTTTCTTTGGACCTCACTTTTTAAATAAGGGGAAACTAAATTCTGATTCAATGAATTTTTTCAAATACTGGATCCTGAAAGTTTTCACACTGGCTCACCATCGGTGGTTTCCCGTCCGGTGAGCGGGTCACTGTCTTTGTGAGGATAGGCGGCGATCACAGACACCTGGTAAGGCGTCTCTGGAGTCAGACCGTCCAGGACGGTGGTTGTTTCATCACCTGGCACCGTTTTCTCTCCGTGTTCCTCAGAAAACAAAGATTTCCAGTGAACTTTGTAGGCCTGTACGATCCCGGGCGCCGCCGTCCAGGAGGCCCTGAAGCTGGTGTCCGTTACCAGGCTGGTGACCAGGTTCTTCGGGGGGCCAGCCTCTGAAAACAAAGGGGAAAATTTATACGTTTAGATGTTAGTATCATCAAATGATTGGCCTATAGCGCTTATAGAAATGTTCCAGCGCTTTGTTTAACCAAATGTTTCCTCTAGATATGCTGTTTCAGTCTCTTTCCACATCCCAGATGTTTTTCAAGCTTAAAGTCACAATGATTCAGTTACTCAGTGGCTCTGTCCGAATTTGCCAAGAACATTTTTAAAATCCATGGTCTCTTTCAAACAAAGGAACCATTTAGATGCACTGGCAGATGAAAATATCTTTAAAATGGAAAGTATTAGGTCATAGAATGGACAGCGGCGCTATAAAAGAGCAGCCAGAACTGGATAAACACATGTGAAGGACTGGAGCTTTTATTTTCAATTGTTACGACACTTCTGGTGCATTCATGAGCACCAAGCATTGAAGACAGATGGGATTAAAGTCCTTCAAGACAAAGGGACTCCGCTTGGGATGAAGAAAATTAAAGCAAAGTGGTTTGAGTCCACAGACAGAAAACACCTTCTGGTAGAACTCAGAGATGAGTTTTATTTCAGGACATTATTGAAGTGACAACAGCCCAAATACTCTTTCCAAGTTCACTGAAGATGTCCTGGATTCTTACAAGCATCTGATGGAATCCATGAATGTGAAGAGTTTTTATTTCTATACGGGCCTGAACAGGTCGGCTCCAAACGTCTAACGAGGATAAACACGAAAGGGACTAATATGGATGGATGATGGATGGATGGATGGATGGATGGATGGATGGATGGATGGATGGATGGATGGATGGATGGATGGATGGATGGATGGATGGATG